TCGTTTAATTGGGCCGCATTTTCTACCTGAACATCTGAATGGGCAAGGCTTACAGCAAATTAAAAAATTATCACTAAGATGTTAATAAAAAATTATTTTTGGCAGGTCATGCTCAGACCTTTTCGAGGTTCTTGCTGGGCAACAATAACAATTTAATATGTTGATTGCATAATTATAAAGAATAATTTATAACATTTTAAATTATTATTGGCTGACGTGAGCAAACCGTTTATTTATTGTCTTTATATTAAGCGAAAATATATAAATATGGCAACATTGCATCTATATCGTAGCAAGCTGACGTCAGCCGGTCAGTAACAGCCTGAAAAGGGGGTTAAATAATGATTTGAAAATATGTTTTTCAGCTTAAATATGCATTTAATTTTTTTTTTAATCACGCCATCGTATTATACTCATTTTTCTCCATGTGCTCTTAAAATTAATGACATTATGACTGAATCACCCTGTATACACCGTGTCCACCTAGTGCGCGTAAGTCCAATATTTAGGTTAATAAAAGATATCTCAATTTTTTTTTCTACAGAATTGCCTACTTTCCTGAGCTGCACAAAATGAAAATATATTTGCATATACAGGGTGTTCAGTTTTTCCTGGGCAGGTACCAACTTAATTTTTTTAATTGGAAACCCATATTTTTTATGGCATTATCAAATTCTACGTGAAAAAGTAACGGTACTTTGTGTTATGATCCCTATTAAAATATTGATAGTTTTCGAGATAATCGACTTTTCATTTTTTTTCTTATGTTTCGTCATTTCTAGTAGTTGACATAATTATGATTGTATGACAGCTAGAAATGATTTTTTTTCAGGAATTGTAGAGTGAAGATGGCTCTTTCAAAAAACGTATCAAAAGTTGACCTGCGATATACAGGGGGCAAAAAAAATCGTGCCAAAACTGATAATTTAAAATTTGAAAAATCTCGACTTTTTCAAATAAAACACCCTGTGTTTTATGATTTCATTAGATGCCTTTCTGTAAACCCTACAATTTTTTAATAGCTTTCGCTATACCTAAATACTGAGCAAAACACTCTCCCACACACAGTCCAGGCTGATTAGGACATGGCTTGCAGTGAAACAAAGTGCTCTTCTTAATTTTGTTTCTGCTGCACATTGTACATCACTTTCTTGTTTCGATAGCTGTATAGTTTTTTCTTCGTTACTACCCAGAAGTGATCGTATTACCTCCAACCGAAATTCATAAAAAGCCATTTTCTTGTTAGGGTATTGATTATATAAGAGATGCATGTTTAGAAACATTAGTTGAAGAATTTGACACCATATTTGTGTCGCTTATTTTTTATGTATTGCCAAAAAACAAGTCGCCCTCTCCAGAGCACCAAAGTCTCGTCCAAGGAAAACTGCTTTCTGAGTTGATAAATTTCCAACAGTTTGTAGTTGAAAAAATATATCATAGATTTGTGGACATTTTGTGGAGTCAACTTGCACATTTTCATCTGTGACATGGTTACTTCTAAAATGTAAACAACTGAGAATAACCAAAAAGCGATCTCTATTTATGTGTTGAGAGAAACATCTCAAGCCAAATAGTCGATATGCAATAATAATCCCATAAATATACGTAATTCTGGCAAAGTCAAATGTTGCCAAGAAGTTATTCATGATTTGACATGTGCTCCAGACAAAAATATAACTTCGGCTTGTTTATTTATTTCGTCCAATAATATATTTAGAAAACTTTTTTCGGCAATCAAAAAGAAATAATCTATTGGTAATTCATTTCCTTTTGGTTGTACAAGTAATCTTTTTATTTTTGTAAATGGTATATCTTCTATGTCGACATCATCAACCCATAAACTGCCATTTGTATTTGTCCCAGTAGCCGATCCTATATTCGCTGCCGAATCTTCAGCTTCAGAATTTAAAATATTGTTATATAGCACTTTATATATAAATAATCTAAGAATTTTATCTGAAATATCTTCATTGTCAGTGTATTCCTCACTATCATCATACACACTGCCGTCATTTATTATTTGCTATATTTTTAGGGTCTCTTATTTGTATTTTAGGTCTTTAAGGCCTTGAGGGACCTGCGTCACAATTTTCCATGGTATAATTTTTCAACAACGCATGTAATATACTATGTGGAAAAAAATCACGAAAGAAAATACGCACCTACGAATACATAAGCTGTACGCTGACTAAGCCTCATGCACTAACACCCAGTGCTAAACTTGTACTGCCTTTGCATGTGACACAGACCCGTGTCGCCCGCATGTGGGTGTATATACCCAAAAATTTCACACTCGTAGAGAAATTTATTTCTTGATTAATCAATGTAAATGTTCAATGGGGTCTCTAGTGAGTTATTAACTTCAAATAAGGTACAATTTGTTTTATTCTCATTCAAAAGTAGTTTGTTCTCAGAAAACCATTGTTTTCTAGAAATCATCAATACATTACCCATTTTAAGTATATTCATATAATTTGATTTCTTTATTAACAAATTTGTATAACTGACTGTAAATTGTTTATTTACATTTTATTCAAAATAATATTTACAAGTCATTTACAAAAATTATAAACAAAAGAGGTCCCAGTATACCTCCCTGCAGCACTTGCCCTGACAATTCCAGGGCGTTTGATCTTATTTTGTTATTATTATACCCTATATCAACAATTTGTTAGTTCTAATACCATACCTATACAATTTTTGCAAAATGATCTATGCAATCAAACGCCTTGGAAAGGTCAAGAAAAACGCACCAGGCCAGATTCCCTTCAGCTTTTGAGTATTTCATTAACAAAGCTGTATTTATAGACTTTTTATCCATACAGTGTAGGAAAGTACTGATGGTCTATCAGAAGTTACGTGAGAGCGATAAAGTAAGCCATAGAAATCCATGTGATAGACAAGGATGGCTATAATGAAGGCGTCTAATAGTCAACGCCCATTTCGCCCTTCCACAAATAAGATCCACTTCTTATTTGTGGAAGGGCGAAATGGGTGTTGACTATTAGACCCCTTCATTATAGCCATCCTTGTCTATCACATGGATTTCTATGGCTTACTTTATCGCTCTCACGTAACTTCTGATAGACCATCGGTACTTTCCTACACTGTATAACTATGTTGATTCCCCGGTTCACTTGTAGTTGATAAGTAACTGTTCTTTAAGAGTTCTATACACAGTCTAATGAGAAATTCTAACTTGCCTTGCAATACTCTGGGTATTTCTAGCAAAGGTGCTTTGATAAATTGAAAAATTTGTTCCTCCACATACTTCTTGTGTCCATATTCTCACCGGTTTTCTGGGTAACATTGCCCATATCTAGCTTCATTTGCTGAGCATAATCTTAGTAAGTTAATAAGTAGCACATCGTGATATTTACATTTAAAATACATTCTTGTAAATAGAATGTAAACACATATACAGGCAATCCTCGTACTTATAGTATGTTCAGTTTTCAAAATATAGTATAACGTAAATCGAAACGACGTAAGTCGATACATTTATTCATCATCCATTTCTATATAAAGTGAGCTAGGTTCTATCAGAACATAATATAATGTAAAAAAAATTACATATTAATATTAAATAACTATACTTTATTTATAAAACAAACCATCTATTTGGTACATACATGTCGGCATCACCCCTGTAACCGCTTATGAATTCGTAGCCACTCGAAGAACTGTCGCCGTCGATGAAATGTTGAGGACTTGTTTTTGTTTATGTTACAGAAATATTAGAGTACCAAATTGTTATCTCTTCAGGGTTAAGTTTTAGCCTGTGTGTGAAAGACCATCATTATCTAACTTTTGTAAACACTTCCTTATATGGTCATGTTTGGTAAAAAGTAAACTGATAGGCAAAGGAATGCACTGGGTAACGCCCCTGTGAACGGAACAAAACTGAAAGCCCGGGAAGCAACTAGATCATTCAATTGATGAAACAACCATAGCCGTGTGGCTTTTACTATTATTATTATTATTACTGTTACTATTGTTTTGATAAAAAAGTAGTGAACAGGTTGCTAGGGCTGACAGTGGCGGACCGTTAGTTCCTATTCTACAACTTGTATACCAGCTCCCGTATTTGTAATAAATAGTGTCACGTCACCCGTGTATTATTTCGATAGAGACAACATAGTAAACTAATTCCTATGTCCACCAAGTGTCTCCGACATACATATTGCACAATTGAAAAAATAGAAAGAATCAAACTAAATCATTGGTTTAAAAAACGTATCAATTCGAGTTTGTTTTGCTTCTTTTTTTCTTGTTTTCATACATTTCTCGATAACACTGACAGGAAGAAGGCCCGGCTTAAGGAGGGGGGGGGGGGCAATAGGGGCTGTATAGCCCCGGCCTCATGAGATAGGGGGGCCTTGGCGAGAAGCTACAGACGTTAGATTGTGAACTAGTGTTAAAATATTGTTTGATGCAACTCGAAACATATCAAAACGACGTAACTCGAGGACAGCCTTTACTAACCTTTGTTCACCACAATTACAAATAATTTATTGTTCATGATAAATACTTTAAAAGAACATGAAAAATTATACTTATTTTTTAAAAATGTATTAGTATTAGACTTTCAGGCGAGTTGCATTGTCATTTGAATAGTCTAATAATTTCACTTTGGTAATTAAAAAAATTATAATTTCACGCATTAATTTTAATTTGAATAAATTGTTTTTTCACGATGGTACATAATTAATTTACAGTTAAACCAATCAAAATCTGTTCCTCAAATATATATTTAGTTTAAAATTTTCATAAACAATATAATAATTTTACACTTTGGTAATTAAAACTTATTTTTCTTGAAAACGCGAGTTTTGAATGTCTGCTGTATGGGTCAAAACGGTGCAAAGAATTGGCTCTTAAATTTACAAAGTGATTTCCCTAACAATCTGTATGAGTGAATCAAATTACTTCTGGTTAAATATTCAGTCTTAAATTAAGACAACAAAATATATCCATATGCAAAAAATATATATATTTACTTCAATATTAAGTCTGGCCTGCTAGGTACACCTCCTGGTGTACGAACATTTACCGGAGGACTTCTGTCTCCATCTCCCTTTCTGGTCAGTGCTGCAACTTGGACAGAGTACAAACTGTCTGGTTGAAGGCTAGTAATATTTATTTCTAACACTGTATCACCAACAACATCAAATTTCATTGGTTCATTCAGAAAGTTCTTACCCTAAAATAAAAAAATAATTACTAAATTATGAAGTAAATGTAAGATGTTTTTAAATGTATATTGTGTAAATTCCATAATGGTATTTTTGTCGAACAACCATAAAAATAGCTTCTTGTCTTATACAGGGTGTTAAAAAAAGAGTGTAAAATATTTAAGGAGGTAATAGTATGAACCAAAATAAGCAGAAAAGTCTCAATAAATATGGATCCGCAAAGTAACGGTTGTGGAGATATGGAATGTTTTGTTTTTTAGCCCCTTTTTTTATTTTGCAAAAACGTGTATTTTCTTAAATAAACAGTACATATTTGACAGTTGTTCTCAGTGTACAAGTTTTTTTTTCGCTATGGCTGGTTACTCTAACGCAGAATTAACAGACATGCATTTCATGTATGGTCGTGCTAATGGCAACGCCACCGAAGCACGACGTCTTTATGTTGACGCTTATCCAAATCGCCAGATTCCTTCACAACGCATGTTTGGAAGAATTCACCAAAGATTGCGTGATACCAGTTCCTTGAGCAAACAGTGCCATTTATCCGGAAGACCAAGGTCGGTATCCACTCCTAGAGCAGAAGAAGAAATTCTAGCACTGGTAGAGCAGAATCCAGGTACGAGTGTGCGGAGAATATCAGCCGAGGTAGGAATTAGTGGTCCTCTTGTTTGGAGAATCCTTCACGAGCAACTGCTTTATCCATACCATGTGCAACGAGTACAGGCCTTAAATCCAATAAATGATCATCAAGCACGTTTGTTTTTTTGCCGCTGGTTTCTACGTCATGATGCTGAAGACCCTCGTTTTCTTGCAAACATTCTTTTTACTGATGAGGCCGGGTTCACAAGAAATGGAGTGTTTAATTTTCACAATACGCATATTTGGGCCGACGAAAATCCTCATGCTCTAATAGAATCTGGACATCAGGCACGTTTTTCATTAAACATTTGGATGGGTATTGTAGGTGACAGGTTTCTAGGTCCTGTTGTTTTACCAAACCGATTAACAGGCGCTGCTTACCTCAACTTTCTGCAGAACACACTGTATGAGTTTTTGGAAGACATTCCTTTGAATCAGAGGCAACAAATGTGGTTCCAGCATGATGGTGCTCCAGCTCATTTTTCCATGGCCGTTAGAGAGCATTTACACCAAACTTTTCCACATAGATGGGTAGGAAGGGCCGGACCTGTTTTATGGCCTCCAAGATCGCCTGATCTGAACCCTCTAGATTTCTTTGTTTGGGGATATTTGAAGACATTAGTGTATGGTACTCCTGTAAATAGCCTGGAAGAGCTGCAGCTACGGATTAATCAAAAGTGTCAAGAAATCCAAACCAAGGAGGGTGTTTTCGAAAGAGTTCGAATATCGTTGAGACGAAGATGTCGTGCCTGCTTGGAAATGGACGGAGGGCACTTTGAATATCTTCTGTAACTTTGTTTTTTGTTTGTTAAAAGCTTCCTTTGTCGGTTTATTCCTAATAAAATAAAATGTTTGAAAAACGAATATTGGTCCATATCTCCGCAACCGTTACTTTGTGGACCCGTGTTTATTAAGACTTTTCTGCTTATTTTGGTTCATACTATTACCTCCTGAAATATTTTACACTCTTTTTTTTAACACCCTGTATTCTTTTACTTGCATTATAATATGGAAAAGGTCAGCACATATGAAACAAAATATAAGAATTTGAAAAATTGTAGGTTTAAGTTTTAGATCATGAGCATTTTAACAAATATGTTCAGTTCTTTCAAATTTTTAGTTATTCCGTAAATTTTTAAATTGATTATAAGGGTGTCCAGAAATTAATATCTCTTCTTTGTATATTGGACTTTTGTAATGTTTAATTCAGAAAGTAAAATTTTAGTTGATTTTACAATCAAAAAGTGATCTTGCAGCATTTTCATGCACTACACTTTTTGCATATTCTATCAATAATCAAGCTTGTATCAAAAATGTGTTGGTGACGAAAATATGAAAAATTATAAGAAGTAACTTGAATCTATGTGATAAAACAGGAACTGAAGTTGTAAAGTCGCTCCCGAAAACAATAGGATCTAATTATAATATATTATTATATATAATTATAAAGATGGCAGCCAATGAGCCAACAGTGGTTCTGTCTCAGAATAAAAAACTTTGTAATTATTGCAAAAACTCAGTTAAAAGTGGCCCAAAGTGCAATGTGTGTGGGCTTATTTATCATCCTAGTTGCAACAAGGGTAAAATCCTGCTGTGGAGCAGGATTAGGTGATAATAAACCTGATGATATGTGTGCAGCTGTTTTTAATGCAGAAGAAACTCATCTGAAAGAAGAAA